TTATTAGTCAGATTTGGCTACTAGATTTCACAAGGATCCTGTTGGATTTACCATATTACTCCGGCTAATTCACCAAAATTTCTGGGCATCCACTTAAAGGCAAGTACTAGCTGCTGCACACACCTATGGCTGCCTATGCTGACTTTGACATTGTATGTGACTCAGCATGTGCAATTACGTAGTATTCTCCAGACAGTCTTTCTACCATTCTTACACAAGTACAGGTAAGGGATGAAAAGCCATAAAAATGAATCCAAGCCAGGATTTCTTAACATTTAATGCATGCTGTCGTTTTACTCAGTTATTCAAGCTTTTACCCTAGCCTTCACCCAGTGATTGGCCCAAAAGAAAGCTTTGGAACAATGAAATGTTCTTTATGAGCAAATGAATGGAGTTTAGTACAGCCTGAAAAGGTACAGTTGGGGTTTTTTGGGTTTTAGAGGGAATTTTTTTTAAGAGATGGGATGATTTATTCTGAAACTATATAAATTACTTCCACACACTCTTAAAGAAATCAGATCAAATAGGCCAAAGGATACTGTTAAATGCCCAAATAAATTTTTTTATAGTACTTATTTCTATTACTAAAAACTTCAGATTTTGTAACGTTAACTTAGTATCTCCAGTATAAAATCACAATATGTGACCATAATGCACTTTCATTCATCATAGAGAAGTACAGCACTGATCACAGAATCTGCTATATTAAATGCAGTTGAACTGTTTGACTCCTGGAAGAAGTTTAGCAATTCACGATGGTAATATTTATAGCAGAATTCGATTAAGTTAATTTTGTAATTTAAACTAGTACAGAAAGCCAATGAAAATCCTAACTCGTGCACATTAGGGATAAATTCACACCTGAATGCTAATTTGGATTGCATATTGGATAATTGCAATTGTACACTGTAAACTCCTTTGAACTCCTTTAGTGTAATGCTATAAGCCAGTGGTTCTCAAACTATATTGAGGGGGAAATGGTAGTTCATAAATTTATGGCAAGTAGTTCATAAATTGTAGAAAGGAGGAGTTAGGTGGCTAGACAAAAAAAGGAGGTTTTGAAGACTTACAGCTCTGTACTAATATTTCCTGGTGTAGTATTTTCCCCAGAGAGAGCACTGTAGCTCTACTGTTGCACTGTTCACTCCCATATACATCATGGTTTCATCCAGTCTTTGGGGCCTGCAGCTAATTCTGATCAGAAAATTGTTTTACTTGTGCTGCAACTTATGAACTTTTATGTAAGAACAACAAATTAGAGGACTGAAGTGGCCTGGGCACAGACTGTTTCTCTGGGTTTGAAACAAGTTTATAGGAACATAAAGGAAGAAGGGAAAACCTGCTGTTTATGTTTACTTACAACACTATTGGGAATTTCCATTTCAGGGATTTCTATCTGGAAAGTACCTTTCGTGCTCTGCAGAATTATCTCCTTGCATTTCATCAGACAAGGGACTGAGGAGTAAGCATTCTTTAATAACTTACATGGCTCTATTTGTTAAGGAACTGTTAAATAAGGACAGACAGATATGACATGATTACTATTCTACTCACTTCTCCAGGAACTCTCGTTTAACAGGGGCAATGTCCAATAGGGACATTTGTCTGAAGTTTTTAGTTGCCAAGATCTTTTCTTATGTGTTATCTTATTTGTAAGGGAAGACTGAAAATAAAAACTGTAAAAGATGCATTAATACTGATCCACCATCTGATTTGGCCAAGATCTGTCAAGAAGACTAACATGCCCAAAATTTAAGGAAGACAGCTGAATGAACTTTAGTAATAAACAGGATGATTTAGGGAAATCCTTGAGCAACTCTCTTGGTTATACTGTATACATAAAAGTACAGAGGATACACACCCTGAAATTTGCTTATAATCAATAGCAATTTATTTCAGAATACTTCAATTTTCAAACAGTTTCATTATATGAGAAATATGGTGTTAGAATCTTTCAGGTCTTTACTTGGAAAATATTGGTAATAACCCCTACAAAATCAATCATTCTGTTTCAGTGGGGAGCAGATATTTTTTGAATTTTTTGACTGAATGCAAAAGATTTATGGGAGTTATTAAAATTGCAAAGTTAACCCAGTTATTCAAATCAAGTGTGATCAAATTATTCAGCCTAAAATAGGAACTTCTTTAAATTTAACATTTGGAGTCCATAAGGAGATTGTGAAAGCACTGCACTGCATACTTCAATCACATGAAAGTTTTAAGTAAAGTAGATATTGTAAAACCACTGAATATTAAATTCAATGCTAATTTCCTTAGGAGTATTAAAGCCATAAACAGGTTATGCATGGTATGGTAATAGATGAAGCACTTCTGGGAAATAAGGCCTTTAACAAGCTTGGAGTACCACGTGACCGTGGCAAGCAAAAGATCAGCTCATCAATTTCATTATTAATTCATTTCTAAGAACACAACTATGCTCATGTAAGACCTGACAAAACAGCATGAGCATTAATTTTGCAAACCAAAGTCTGTCTGCACCATGCAACACAGCAGGCCAAATTCAGCTGCAGCAGTGTTACTCTATCTGATACATACAAATCAATTACCACCCATTGGTACACAATTCTTTCAACAGCAATGCAGTATTAAAGGCAGATTAAAATATTCTGGTGTGGGAAAAAAATTATTAAGCAGTGAAGCTGAATTACAAAACTATAAAAACAGCTGTTAAAACAAAAGCTGATGGTATATGCAGTTGAGGAAAGGGTATATGTTCCCCACATAGTCAGTAAAGAAATGCTATGTTCCTCTTCATATTTGAACTCCTTTACTTTTCAGCATAAAAGATATACCCTTCTGTCAGCCTAGAAAATCCAGTTAAATTTCATGGTGACAGCAGGAGTGTGAGATACCATGCAGAGTATTTGCAATATTTCCTCAGATTACATGGCTAGCAATTTACTGGGAAGACAGAGATTTGTGAAATTAGTATTTGAAGTGCATTTTCCATCTATGACTTTTTCTTACTCATTTCAAATTTCACACAGGATATCTGGAAGAAGGAATTCCAGGCAGCATGTAAAATGCTGTGGGGGATGTCCAGGGATTTTACAGAGGTAGCATAGTAATCTATCATTTGGGTTGGGGAGTGAATTACAATTACCCTGCAGGAACAGCATTTTTGAAGGAAAAATACTACAAAAAATACTTCAAGATAAAGTTCACCCTCTGTCTTCTCTCATGGGAACCAGACCCAAAAAGTAATGAAAAAGGCTCTCATAAATTCCAAACTAACATGGCAGTATGATATGAAAATACATCCTGGCACCTTTCCAACTGTTACTCTCCATGAAGGCTGTAAACTGTCATAAAGACAGCTTCGTTGGCTCCCCAGTGGAGAAAAATCAATAAATATTGTAAGAGCAGTTTATTGAATGTACGTCAAGACTTCCTGGTTTTCCTCGAGTCAGGACATTTTATGGTATAATAGAAAGATATGATCAATGGCACTTCAACAAATCATAGCTATCAAAGTATCTAAAATCAAGGGAGAGACCGTGCAAAGTTAAAAATAGCAGATGAGACTCACTTCAGTTTTGGACCAAACAAATCTCAGCCACATTACATAACTGAACAATGGAACTTTATTAACATTGGAGAAAAATTTTTCAGCAAATTTATGTCCTAAAAATGACAGATAGCCTAAGCGAGATACTCCTGAGAGCTGAACCTCCTTCTCATCACCAGTGGATGATGAACTAGACTGAACTGTTTTAATACAGCCAGTCTTATACATCAACACAGTATTTTTTGAAGCGCCATGTAAGCCACAGAATACAAATGTTCAATTTAAAATAATTTTTAGACATTAGTATTCCAAAGACAGAAGTCCAGCTGTATCCAAAGGTAGTTGTGTCTTTCTAAGGCAACAGAAAGTACTAACTAAATCTCAAAGTTTCAGCAGTCTATGCCAGGAAAGATTTAAGACTTCAAAGTATGGTAACATTGTCCCATGCGTCCTTGCTTTTTACCTCAGCTGGTAATACGCAAATTACTGAAGTAACAGGAGGAGGCAGAACATTTGACTCTACCTTTGAGGATCAAAGGTACCTCCTCACCCTTATCTAACATCTGCCTTCGTCACTGTTTCACAAAACAGAAGTACAGAGTAATTTCGGTTAGAAGAGATCTCAGGAGGTCATCTGTTCCCACACCCCACCCACAGCAGGGCTGACTTTAATGTTGGATCAGGTTGTTCTGGGCCTTGTCCAGTCAAGTTTTGAATGCTCTGCCAGCACATCCAAGGACATTTAAAAACACCCAGCAATGCCAACAATTGAACTTTGCTAGCCTCTGTTCCTTGTTGGGACAGTGATGTGATGAATAAAATTAATTAATACTCTTTTTTTTTGTTGTTGTTTTTGGGGTTTTTTATTGGGGGGTGGAAAGAGAGAGTTGTTTGTTTGTTTTTTACAAATTCTGGCATGAAAAGAAATGCATCTCATTGGTTCAATACCATTCCTGTTAAAAAAATGACTTCAGATTGTATTTCTCTGGTTTTAGGTCATATTACATTGCCACAGATTGTCACTAGAGTTAAGTTTAAAATATCTTATCCCATCATGTGGGTATACTCTTCAGTTTTGGTATGTATGCATTGCTTTTATGTAGCAGAAACATTTATCTTACACTGATATTTCTAGCCTTGATTAACAAACCATTAGAAGTGTGATAAACTTTAGACTCATTAACAAAGAAAAATTCTGATGAATATAGATGAGACCAACACAACTAGCTTTCCTAACACACCTTTGCAGAATTGTGACATGTGGCTGCAAAATTTCAGTAAAGTGAGCCACACAATGTAGTGTATGTACTAAAATTAATGGAGGACTAAGTGAACTAGGTACTGAGAACACTATTAGTCAGCATTACATCAAGCTCCAAGAGTATATTTCTATGTGAGATGAAATATTATTTTCAATTATTGGGATATTATGATATAGAATATACCACGATAAAGAAGAAACATATCTTACCTATTCATCTCTTCAAGGCAGTCTGTTGCAAAGTAGAAGCTCTTTATTTTGGGGTGGCATGCTTTGAAGGCACTAGAAAATAAGCATAAAGTATAAAAAATACATTTTCTTTCAAACAGTTTGTCTACAAATACACAAGACTGACCTGCCCTATGATTCTTCAGCATGTTACCAGTTTCATAGGCTTTTTGAATCTTCAGTCTGAATTTTCCTGGTTAAACTTATAGATGGCTTCCTACTGATCTGATTACATCTACATTTGCAAGCCTAACTGATACTTTGTAAAAATTTCAAAAGCCCTTCAATGACTTAGAAATAGAAATCCTTTCAATAACCACTGATTTATACATTTTTAATCCCTAATTATAATCTTCATTCAATTTGAGTTCAACAGAAGCAATATGGAAAGTTCTTAGGGAATATAAGTGGCAGGTTTGCTTCATTTGGAAGTAGGTAATAATAAAGAAGTTCCTGAGACAGTCTTAACTCTTTAAATAGTCACTTCTAATTCCAGAAATTTCTTTGTCAAGTTACTTTAAACCCAACCATATCCCAAGGACTTTTCATCTTAATCTACTAGTCTTTGCTATGTTTTTTCTGCAGTCAACATGAGTTATTAGTAGTTAATGATTCTTCACCATTTCTTCATCTTCCACCTAGCAAATAACAGAGTTGTCAATATTTAAATTTAAACCGTATGTTTATTGTTACGTTATAATTCGTGCTCAATTCTATGTATCTTAGCATTTTTTTTATTGCACAGTCCGTTATCACAGATAGCTTTTGATTCAAGAAATCCTAGCTGTTTAGGAGTTTCCCCTCTCTTTGGTAATTTTAAATTTATGCAAAAGTTAATTTATAGCGTGAAATTCTTTGAAAAGTGCAAGTTAAATTACAAATCACTGGAATAGTTCCAAATCATATCACAATAGATTTAACTTAGTTTTAAAAGTCTACTGTTTTACCTGTGTAACTAGTACAGTATTAGTAGTATAGTATACTATATTCTTGGCTACATGGACCTGAGGTACTGAACAGTAGCATGACAAAAGGCAGCTGTACAACTGACATTGCTCTGTGCATTGCTAATATTCCTTCTCCTTCCTCAAATGTCAATTCCTTCACCAGCCATCTCGCCAGCGTAGTTCAATTCTATCTGATTTCACAAGCCAAGGTCTGATTCTCACTTTAGGCTGGCAATGTACAGACATCACTACATTGCATTGTAATCTATTCAGACTATATGCATGAGATAATAATCAAGCTCAACATCTGACAGCATGGGTGATTATAGTTTACATAAAAATGCTTTTTATTAATGCTTTTAGATGGTATAATCCCTCAGTTGAGCAGTTATTTAAAAGCTGCTGAGAACAATAATAATATTTTTTACAAAATTTTGATGTGAATATAATTAAAAGGAGTACTGCTATCAAGGAAACCACAAACTCAGAGCATTAAAGAGTATTCTTTTGATTAGCTGGCAAACGTTAAAAAACTACCACACTATCATTCATAACATTTATGTTAAAACACTGACATTTAAATGGTAATTACCAGATGTAAGAATTAGATTAGGAATCAGTACATATGGCATTATGAAGAACCTGTGATGCAACATTTCCACTATTAATACCTTAAATACCAATTAGTGTTTTATTAATCACTATTATTTATTACAGTTTTCAGAGACAGAAGTGAAAGATGAAGAAGCTACACTTGGGCACAGTGATTTTCTTATATATATTACTAATACAAGTATGTACAGTAACAGGCTTTCCTAACAAAAGTTCTACAGAAGAATGAGATAACAGCAGAGTTGTATTCACATGCAGTTTCCCTTTTCATGAGATTAGAGCTATATTAAGGGTAAGTTTATCTTTGTACAGAGGGTCATTATAAAACATCTTAATTCCATAAAAGAACACTCCAGAGGTATTTAAGCATTGTTTTGGCATATGGACATTGATAATTTCAACTGCAGATCCTCATCTCCCTAGCTACTTGCAATTTTGCAAATAAAAATAGTGAGTACATCGGAAATCTGAATAAGGAGGAAGCTTTTCTGGTGCCCACTAGATGGCATATGCTTTTTAATTATGTCTACTGAAGGTTAAGATTTTAATACAAGAGATTTTGATCATTATATAAATAAAGCTTTAGGTATACTCTGATTAAATCTATGATTTCTTTTACATGATTAGTATAATATGATTTTAGTGTCAAATATTCCTATCATTCTTAGTCTCCTACTTCTTAATGTGGAACTTTTTACTCCGCTTATGCCAGCTGACCACCAGCAACTCCAACTGCTGTAGCAAAACAGATTATATCTGTCTGTGAATCAGAAGTGTGAAATAGTTTTGTATATGTCTTTATACACACACATATATAAGCCTGGTATGTTACACACTGTTAATTACACACTAATTAAGAAATACTATACTTCCTTACAGAACTTAATTTTTAATAGTCAAAATAGAAAGTCACTACTAAACAAGTACTTCTGCATTGTTATATTATTTAAGCATGATATGCTATTTTCATGTATATATTTTCTGCTGAGATGTCAGCACACTGTTTTCAGTTGGTCTGAACTCTGTGCAACACCTCCACCTTCTAGTGTTCCAATTGCCCAACCATCTTCCAGTTCTGAGATTTAAGTATTCACTCGAATTGGAGAGGATTAAGTGGTGGATCTAAAGATTCTAATCCTCTTGATTAGTCCTGTTAGCATATCACATGATGGAGTGTCTGTTGTAAATAGGATTATTTTCCTAGATAAGAAATTTACATACATAAAAGCATTAAAATGCTAATATTGGGGTTTCAAAGTCAATCTTTTAAAAGTTGGAATATGTAGAGTTAGCGTGATAAACAGAACTTAAATTTAGCCCCATTATACTATTGTAATGTGATACAATCTATGATTCTGTATTTGAATATTACATTCTCACAGGAACCCTGCCTCAAGTAAGGTACAGAGAGTGGACTTGCTAGAGAGGCGAATTAGGATTATGCACAGATAAGTCTACTTTCTGTAGGACTGCTGTCCCAGTTACAGAATTTGTAATCATGTCATAAAATGTAGAAAGAGCAAGAATTTTTTCAAGGGTAAATCAGCTAAATGCTGCAGGTCTTCCTGCTTATGCAAAGGAGTTCTTACGTGCTCAGTCATAGCTAACAGACTTAATAATTGGTTACTACATGATTGTTCTTTTGTATCTTTTTGCCTGATATTCTGATAATTTACTGAAATGGTAACAGCTGCAATAATGTATTGTACTGTAAAATATTTACGTACTCTGAAGAAAACAGGTACAATTCTGTGGGAACTTTTGATTTTTTCTAGGCTACAAAATGTGACAATAAATCCATCTTAATCTCCCAAAAGTGTCACAAAGATTATTATTAGGGAAGCATTTAGATACACTAGCATTAAGAACCAAAGAAAAGTCCCCACGGAAATCATTCTAGACATATAGAGAAATATGAATAATGCAGAAGAATGATACCTATATTTTCACCTTTGCTTTGTTATGGAGGGCCCAAAACCGGATGCAGTGATCTAAATGTGGTGTAATGAGTACCAAGTATAAGAGAATAATCACTTGCTTCATCTATTGGCTGCACTCCAGCTAACACAGCCCAGGAAGCTGTTAGCCGTCTTTCCTGTGGGGGCCTGCGGGTGGCTTAAGTTTGGTTTGCTGTCTACTAAGACAGTCAAGTTTATTTCAGAAGAAGTAATAAAAATTACTGAAACTGTAGCAACCTTTAGGATATAACTTCATGTCTACCTATGACATTTATATAGAATTCTGACTGCACAGTTTCAATGTGAAGTGCCAACCGTATGGCATATACTTCCGTAAATTTGAAACCTAAATTTGCTTTGCTTCTGCAGTGAAAATTTTCACTAGGTGGAGACTGTTGAAAGTTCAGGCAAAGCACTAGTTAACAGTGATTAATTATATACAAAGTTACAATAATCTTTAATCTTGTGAATCAACTTAATAATGGGGCATTATAACTATCAGTATCTTTGAAAACAACATGATATTCATGTCATGCCACATTACACAAACTTAAATAACTAAGATTTCTAATACAGTATGATAATTTTTAATCATGAAGATGCAGGTGTTGCCTAAAAGCAGTGGAAAGGTTTTCAGTATCAATGCAAGAAATCTCATCTCTCAGGAACAAGGTCATTTTATATCCAAATAAAGCCTGGAGAGCTAAACAAGTCTGAGATAATGCCATGATTTGTATAATAATCAGGGTACCTTCATTAAAGGCATTAGTGAGGCAAACCATCAAACCATGCAGAATAATGCATTCAATTACTACATATTCTTGCGAAAGCTTTCTTAAGGCTATTTCATTCAATGTGTCTTATGGACATTAGTGGACATCCTATATATAAACCAGTGTTCTCTATCTGACAGAACAGTGGAAAAGATAAATCTATTAATTATTCAAGAAAGACTTCAAATTCTTTTGTTCAATAAGGTTTGAACATTTCACGTTGATATCTCTGAAAATAACAGAAATTTGAGGGGAAATCCAAGCTGAGTCCCAAAATGTTCTTAGTTTTGCTTTTGAGAGAGCTGAAAGAAAACTAAGTGTGATTTTAGCTTGACTTCTTTATGCACTAAAATACTAAGTGTACCTTTCAAGCAATTTTATTTTGAAACCAAATGAACTTACCAAAGAAAAAAGGAAAGAACTAGGTTTCTTTCTCCTGTCCTTAGTTACTGTCAAGGTAACTGCTTTACTAGCTTTTGCATTCATGTTAGAATGTACTGAATAAAATAAAAGTGAGTAAGAACACAACCAGGTTTATATTTTCAGATTTCAAGCTTGCGGTGAAGTTCAGGTCATATTCCAGCACTTACTAAAACTCCACTATTAAATGAAAACAATATCCTAAATGGAAAGAAGCGAGCAATGAGTCTATAAAATCTGTTTTTCAATAGTTCTCTGAAAAGGAGGCAAGAAAATCGTAACTGAAATATTTCCCTCTAATCTAGCAGAGAGAATAATGAAGGGTGAGAAATTTTACAGAATATGCTGGGTCAAAGTGGGTCACCATCACCTTAATTTTATTTGTAAAGGAATGCAGAAGAATCAAACCACATGAAGTTGTCCCTAGGGTCACCAAAACCATTAGCTTTTCAGTAGAATCAGGCAATGGCAACCATGCTTAGTCCTGTCCTTGGCAAAACAATATAGAAGAGGGTAGGTAAGTGCTTTAGAAGTGCGTTTATGGAGGCTGTGGATTAGAGTGGGCTGTTAACACAAGCAGGGCCCTCCATTCATATATGCTGGATATACTGAAATATAAGTGAGAATAACAATGGATTTACTTTCTCTCCAGTTTTCACATGAGTAGGTAAAATAGTGGCAAATGTGAGGTGTAGTTTTTATGATGGGGGTAATAGATAAATGATAGTGCATGAAGGAAGAAATCAAAGGGGAATTCAGATCAGCAAACAGAGAATTCTGGTAATGTCCTCATTAGACTTTTACCCCTTGATCTACCTCTTTTTGAAAGGATTCAAAGCCCAAAGGTACTGTTTTCAGTAGTGTGCAAAGTTTTAGTTAATCGGACTTTTTTTCTGTTCATATACCCTACAGAAATTGTTCTCTAAGAAATGTTCTAAGGAAATGTGTTCTAATGCTTAGAGAAAAGCTCTGGAAGCTATTTTCTAGCTGCACGCAATGACCTTCTGTTTGATCTCAATTAATTCACTGCAATTTGTTAAGAGTTTTATATTCTAACAAAAGGGGATTATTTTTCCTGTGTTTTTGTCCAATATCATTATTAATAACTACCCATTCCTCAGAGAAACTTATAGTGTGCAGTTCACGTTTAATTTCTATAGTGATACCCTCAGCTGAAAGGAGTAATAGAAGTATAAATGCACCATCTTCTAATTCTCAGACAGACAGTAATAATACCTTCAGACAAGAACAAGTAATTTAAGAGGTTTGATTTTCTGATGAGTAGTCTCTACTGTAATTCATATTTTCAGTATTTTTATTGTACATGTCTTCACAGCTGTAGAACTAGTGTTCCTCAGACCAAAACTGCATTTAATCATCAGAAAAGCACAACAAAATTTCAGGATGCTTAGTTATAAGTAGGAAAGCTTTAGTAAGAGAGTGTCTTTAACACTGTTCTATATAGTTCCTCATGGCAGCAAGTTTTAAAAATCCAGATGAAGTTTACACAGAAGACACATGCAAATAATTCATGAGGTACTGGCAAAGTGCTAGTCTCAAAGTATTAGAACTGTTCTGTTAAACATGTTGTTTGACAGCTATGAATTACAATCCCAACAATGCTTGCAAAAAATTTCCAATGAGTGTATGTTATTAAATTTGCCTCAAGGGTGGCAAAGCTTAGCATATGCTTTTTACTGGGAGCATAATGCAGTAGTAGCAGTACGCACATAAGCAATAACGCAATGTTCATTTTGCATATGGAACCTAAATATTTTAGCAGTTGAGAATAACACAATATTGGGTAAATAAGCTTCCTCCACAAAGGAGAAAATGGAGACTATATTCACCATCCCTTGCTACAATATTTTTAATGGTATTTCTTATGGTAATAGTTTCTTGCACATTTGATTCGTATCAAGATGACCATACTGAGCCTGAGAAAATTTTATCTCTTGGATCGTGTATTCGTTATTTTTTTCCTTTACTTATTTAACTGAAGATGTAACTGGGTTGGCTGGAAAGCTGACAACAGAATTATCCAATTATTTGTAAGACAGTTTATGGAATTTACATTAAATTGTATCTTTTCTAGTAAAGAGAAACACTAAAACTTAAGTGAATCTATTATGCATTATTTACAGATTTCAAGGTTTTCTGTGTAACTTCCTTCTCTGGGCTTTGAAAATTTTCAGTACTATGTATAGAATACTTCCAAAAATGATCCCTCAATTTATAAACATAATTGACACATTACTTACTGTTTTCTTCTGCATTCAGTTGCTCTATCTATTCTGAACTCTGGTAAACTAATGAAACCTTCTGCTTTTTCATCCTATGAAGAGAGAAGGGAAAGTGACAGTGAAGAAGAATATAGAGTTAAAGAAGAGAGAAAGTGAGCAGTAGCTATTTAGGTCTTACACTAAGAACATCATCCAATCAGTTGAAATACTGAATGTCTTTTCCCCATAGGGTTTTTACTCAAAAAAAAATTATTTACTTCATCATACTATGCCAAAAACTTTTATGATGTACCTAAACTGACAGTTACTTAAGGGAGCTGTAGTAATCTTAATTCCCCTTTGCTGAAGATTACAGAAAACTTTCCAGCAGCAAATACAGCATCTAAAATAGTGTTCAAGACATCAACAACTACAGAGAAAAATTCTCGGTTTCTTCATCATATGGTTTACATTTTAAAACTGTTTTGTGGATGCCTCCTTTTAAAGTCATGATTGTGCAGACCATCTGCCCTGCTAATAATAATTGAGAAGGTTCCTACAGCAAGCTCACCAGTGATTGAATGGAAAAGTAATAACTATAAAGTATCTCTTGTTGATTTTTGATTCTTTTGAAGTAATTCACCAGGAAAAGCAAGGAGACATATTAACACCAGTCATATTTTTGAAAAGTATTAGCAAGTGTACTTTGAATTATTGCTTGACTGTAAACAACAGACTGAAAATCAGTAGGACACAAAATGACTACCACCTTGTATATAACAATGTCAAACAAATAAAATGTACAACACAAAACCTGTATCATTCACAGTCTGAAACAATACTGTTTTGCACTGGCAAGAAAATACAAAAACTGAGGATAATTATGCTAGTAAAATTGACCTCTTGAAGAAAATGGAAAATATGAACTAAAATATCAGTAATCAAAGCAAGCTGTACACAGACAGTTTAGATCATGCACTGAGGCTCAATGCATACAAATGGAAGAAGAGCAGTCTAACGATTTTTGGCTTCTCCCCTCCATTATTTTTTCCTACATAAATGCAGATTGCACAAGTGTAGGCCCAATGGTTTTCAGTAACATTTTGCCAAGAACAGCATTTTACACATGAGAAACTGCAAACTCAAGACTAATTCAGCAAAAATCAAGAGGAACATCTATATAAGAATAACTTGGAGATAAAGAGATGTACAAATTCAGATTTTCCACATCTGTTTCACATAATGCTTAACTAACACTAATGATTACACTGTATACATCTCAGACAACGGAAACTAAGGAGAGTTGCTTGTGAACATTGTGTTAGTCCAAATAAATAGTATCTGTAGAAAAGTAGTAACTATTGGTACATTAATTTCTTTAGGAGTGCCATGAACATCTGCTATTTTATCAATCCTGGACATGGACATTGGAGACTTTAAAAAATAATTTCAATTGAAATGTTTTTACCTACAGTGAACCAGACCTGGCAGTTAAAGTGGCAGTTCACTAACGTATACTACCATGTAGTAATAATAGACTTTATTCAAAGGAATTATAAAGCTTAAGGTTTAATTTTGGCTTTCTCCAAACATAGAGTATACTTACATTCTGGTTTGTGTACCAGTACAAGGATGAATCCTTCAGAATAAACCAGTACTTTTTCCATTTCTGTGTGAAATATCCTTTGGCATCCTTTTTCTTCCATAGCCAGCCTTCACAATCTCCATGGCCCAAGTCTTTGCAGGAAATCCGTCTTCTGCTCCCACTTGTTAGAGAGCTCCCTGAGAACGTGACAACAGTGTGACATCTCACTGAATGACAGAGTGAAAGAACTATTCTCAATATAAACACACTATGAATTCTTAACAACGATTCAATTCAAAATCCTTCAAGCCAAATCCTCTCCAGTTTCAAGGAGAGGAGATTGAATGAACCATTTCTAAATTTGACAATGCTCTGCAATTTTGGTTTGAGCATGAATACAAAATAAAGGGGGCCTGTTTCATGTAATGGTTCATTTAATCTCTAGAGGGTTAATTCTTCTTTGGTCTGCATTTTTATCTGATTAAGATGAGCATCATCATTCCAAAGTAAAACTGTATTCCTTTAGCCTCAACTTGAAACTCAGAGTATGATGCAATTGGTATACAGATGTAAACACTACTTTTTCTGTACGTTTTCTGCTACTACTTTTAACAATAGAAAGCCTGTCAAATTCTGGGAATTTTTGTACTAAATTTTTATAGTCAATATTTATAGTCAATAAAAAAGAAAGATCATCTACTTCCATAAAAATGTACATGCTTACATTTCTTCTATCCTGAATTTAACTGAACAACAATATTTTAACTTTACCACACCTTGTTTAAGGGCATAGCACCAGGAAAAGTTGTTTTTTTTTTTTTTTTTCTGGTTGTTGTTATTTCAATACATCTTAACTGAAACGCTTAAAATTTTAGTGTGCTTTGGAAATATCAATGAGGATGACTTTTTTTGTAATTATAGTATTATCTTTCCTGAAAGAGACTCCATAGGAAATTTCCTTAAAATATTAGTCATTTTTCTGTGAAAAAAGCGATTTTGTATTGCTAAAAGAATTGTATTTGTCCTACAGCTGTGAAACAGTGAAGGTATTTAAATAACAACAAAACACCATCTTTTGTTCTGCAACATTCCACAACCCAGTTCTTAACATTTTGCTCTTTTTATAATAAGATACTGTGCTGTATCTTGGTCAGGTTTAGAAGTATTAAAAACATATAGTACAATAAAAAGAAAATTTTCATAGAAAGAAATTTAAACCAACAAATAGACTAAAAAGAGCTTACTGGTCACATACTTTCATATTAATTTATTATGCTGTAGCTAGTTTTCATATGCTCATTTTTTTAACAGTCTCAAATGGTCCATGAGTAGATAAAGAAAGAGAGCAAAAGGAAATAGCAAAATACACAGGTATACACACCTTTCCTCTACTTCAGTCAGAGGAAATTTTACCACTGAGTCTAGGAATATTATACTTTATAACACATTTATTAGGTATTTTAATTTGGTATTTTACTTTGGTTTTTACTATCAAATTTACAAATATTAAGTGGAACTTTATCATTTGATCCAGATCACTTATTATCAGAGAAGTCACCTCATATTCTAGTTTCAAAATGTTAACTCAAATAAATTACCTTTTGACCATTTTCTGCTTTTTACCCTGAGGGAAGCGTAATGGAATGACTGTAAAAAAAAAAATTAAATTATGAAAAACCAATGCAGATAATAGTAGTAACATGAAACAGCTGGCATTCACTACCATCTCCTTGGTTATCTTTGAGATAATTATCATAGGAACAGTTACCATGGGATCTAATTTTTGTCATTTTTCACTTACTACTGTTACAGATATCATAAAGAAAACAACACAGTGATAAATCTGCAAATTGAAATCTCAATTTTTTTCATTTATTAATTAAAATTGCAAATAAATAATTACAGATTCTTTGCATGAATCATTATGCAGTAGTAAGGATATAGACTCGTATGAATGACCTAATAAAATGCATGATACTTGAAGTCTGGTTTAAGTATACATGAGAGAGTTATACAAATATTCATTCAAAAAGAAATGTCCACCACAAACATTATATAGTTAATGTGTAAAGTCATCTATTCAATGACATGTTGAAGTCACATTCCTTAATAATTAAGGAATTAAGGAAATAATTAAGTTTGTCAGGTTGGTAGGTTGACACTGTAACTCTGAGGAGAAAACAATAAGTTCTTTATTTTGTGGCTGCATTATAAAATCATTACAGATTCTTAAGAAAAAATTAAAAGCACTTCATTTTTTAAACCATTTAAAAACAGGAATACTACTCAAAAGATGGTAAGGATTTACTTCAAACATGTAAATGTTAGGAGAAAAATTACATGTCAACATGACGAAGTAGCTGCCTGATTGATAACTGATGCTGCCATTACCAGTAGAAAAAACAGCAGACATTCACAGCATGATAAACCAGCAGATCCAGGCAAAGGGTAGCATAACAAGGGCCATCTTTTTAATTTTCTTAACTTTTCCTTTGGGACAGATAACACAGTAGAGGGACTAAAGGAAGGGCTCCTCTGTCACTGACGGGGATATCTCCATGCTACTTGAACTGGTGATACGACTACAGAATATTACCTTCTCCCAGACATCACCTGACTGCTTACCCTGCCTTACCGCAGCTCCTCACCATGTGGTTAAAAAAGCAAACACATGCTATAGAGGTCGTTATTAACAGCTGTGGTAGAACATATTAAATAAGTGTTTAAATATCACAATTTCAAAACCTAAAATAACTGAGGGTTATAATTAAAATATATTAAAATATATAAAATATATTATATTATAAATCATTTAAATTAATATTTAGGATAATGAAGGATTACAGCTTAAGCACTATAGAAGAGCAACAGCTGAAAACAGGACTCCAACTACTGGAGAGACAAAGTTTTATTTTAAAAGAAAGTGGAGGTGGGGGGAGTTGTTTTGCACATGCACAGACCTATTTGTAACCCTTCTGCAATTTAGTCAGTTTACAGTGTTGAACAGCATGAATATTTTCTAGTGACTTGCAGAAATCAGCAGTTCTTGACTCTTGGAAGAGCTGACTCAGAACACCAGATTTCTGTGTTCTCTTTATCTCAGACTGTTCTCCCATTCAGTCACAGTATATGAATGCTACACAAAAATATTGTAATTGTGACAGGTGACAAGCTCTGTAAGTGTATATGTGTTGTATCACCATAAGAGAGTACATATTCTCCATTTAACTTGATAGCTGCAAATTTATCTCTCTGTTTTGAGCACTAGAGAAGACAAAGATTAATGATTGCTCCTGTGCTATAGGAAAAGTAGTAAAAAACAGTCAGAAAATGAAAAAACAAAAGTAAGTCTGTGAGAAAGCATTAAAGATGCACAGCAACATTGGGGTTTTTATTGGTGTATTGCAAGCCACAGCAGCAACATTAGTCTGTCATATTGTGGCAACTGGAGTTCTGTGGTGACCGTGACTGAAACAATCTGTTCAGTGCTCCTCTTTCTGCATAAAAATGCATTAGGACAGAGCAGGGTATCTGTTTCTGAAAAAGAGATCACCAAATTCATCCACAATTTAGGCTAAAAAAATATAGTGATGGAATAAAACCCTATAATTAAGTTACTGTTTTTGCATATGATTAAAGAACTGCAAGAAAAATGGAACAGGAGGATATACACATTAGGATACTCACCAGAAACTGGTATGCATCGGTCAATATAAAAGTTTTAAAAATAATGAAAATACAAGCACAACAAATCAAGGAGAGCTGAAAATATTAGCTATTCTGAAAACATAAGTTAATTAGTCTTAGTATGTTTTGTTTATGCACACATGAAATGTATTCAAAAAAGAAAACTAGAGAAAGTGAAAGGCTTGTAATACCTTGGGAATCAGTACTTAATTAGCACTGCTAATTTACAAAATTCAAGCTTCATATTCTGAGAGATAAAGGTACTACTATATAATTAACTTTGTGGTAAACACTGTAAGAAAACAGAACTTGCAACTTCAAAATGACTCAGAGTTGCTACGGGAAACAGACAGATGATGTGAGAACATACTGTGGTTTTCAGCATTTAAGTTCTCATCTCAAAACCACAACACAAAGTAGAATGTTAAACAAAATGCACACCATGCCAGCCCAGCCCAAAAAGAAGCACACCATAGGAGAAAAAAAAAAAAAAAAAAGAAAGAAAAAGAAAAAGAAAAAGAAAAAGAAAAAGAAAAAGAAAAGGCTACAGAATTGAATCTGTGCTACATGAAGCTAAATTAATGAGACCTCAGCAAAATCATAGTGTAGTAGTAGGAGTGCTGTCACAAAATCACCAAATGAAACGTTATGCTATGTTTGAAAAATGCCCTGGAGACTAGAGATTCAGTTGCGTGTCAGGATGAAGGGAACCAAGTCTATTAATGAAAACTGGTTGCATGTACCTCTGCTATTTTGAACCTTAGGAGTTTTTAAGGAAAACCATTAGCAAGTTCAGAACACAGCCATAGGTGCATTCAGTTGTGAAGTACACAAATCATGGGGCATAGTGCCGATTTCCCCAGATTGTGTGTATTGGATTATTTGCAGTACCAGGATCCTGGGGAACAGCCACTGGTCCAAGTGTGTTCCCAGGGAGGCAGCAGGCAAGGTAGGAGTGGCACAGAGGGGCAGCGTATCAATAAACACAACTGCGGGTTTTCACAAAGGTCAGATAATTTAGTCATACATCTTCCACTATTGTCACTGGTCTTTAGCCTCACTTTGTAAGTATTGGCGAGACAGAATGAAATCTGGCAACTTTCAGAAGTTATTTAGCACCTACTTAGTCAAATAAGTGCTAAGTCAGAATGAAGAAACAGGCATTATAGATGAAGATTCTGTTGTTTGTCCTTAGCATGAAATATTTGCAAAATACTAAGTCATAAAATAATTTCTAGATATTTTCCATTGAAGACCCTCAAAATTGGTACCACAAAAATCTTTGAAAATCTTAATCCCATATGTCCCTATCATAGTATTCATAACATTTAAATATTTTAAGAGTTTTAAAAATTTTGTTTAACTTCAGGGCAACCTTCCCTCCACAGGTCCCTTACGACCTAAACATTTTCTATGATTCTCCTCCCAAATCAAATATATACTTTAGAACACATACTGAGGCTCCTACAAAACTTAACTGAAAATAGTGCATACTCACTGACCTGCTCTGGTTGCAGTAGTCGGTTTTCTGAATATGGAAATTATTCCTAGCTTTTTATTTTCAGATGTTTGATAAGACAGACAAATGTCAGGATTTGTGATATCTTAAGTATCTTTTAAAAATATGACAATTAATTGAACTGTTGGGGATTTTTTTTTTTTTATAAAGTACATTTATAATTCATTACCTTCCTCATGGATGTGCTTCCTTGATGGTCAATGGCAGAACTTGCATACCTAGGACAGAGAGGAAGAAAGATGTCAAATAACTACGGAAAGAACTAAATCTGAATAAGTAGTGCATATATACACACATTATGTGCATTTCCAAATGTATGCTTACAGATGTAATCATGTATCAAAGTTACTTAAAATACAGAACTTAAAATGGGAGGCCCTTTGGAAATTTAACCATTGTTTTCAATGAACAGGGCTAATGTTATTAAGAAACACAAAACCATTCTTAATATTCTGACGTAAAAACATATATCATTTGAGAATATCTGATTTTGATTTAATCACTGGCCTAAAAATACTCAACCCTGTTCAGCTAAGATTCAAAAGCAACCAACACAATTTCTCCCTTCTAGGGACTGCAGGCCTAGGACATTGGTTCTTCGTTGCAGAGTTAACTCTTATTTATGCATTTTTTTCAGCATCAACAGCATTTAACACAGGTATAGTGGATTCCTAGTGTCCAGCCTACAGTGGGAAAGAATAAGTATTTTTAAATAGGAAAAAGGTAGAAATACAAATAATAGTTTAGCAATTTAATTTTAAGAGTAATTTGTATTTTAAAATGTAACACCTTTCGGATATGTATTTGAACTTATATTCTGACCTTTAGGAAAGACTCATACGCGTTGCATATTTTGAAAAGTCAGTTCCTTCCCATGTCATTACAGAATAAAATCAAGGATAACCCAAATTGCTTAATATGTGTCTTCTTTTGAGTTTTTGGATAACTTAACTTTATCAATATGTAAGCATGTGTATAAACACCTGGACATTAATTAGTAAGTGTGTAACTATCAGGCCAAATTTGACATGACTGTCAGCTATGTTTGCAACGTACAGAGAACATCTAATATCTTCTTTTGTTCTGCTCTTTCCCCACCACCTCCTCTTTCATATTCTGGAAGCACCTAAAACCAGGGAATTCATAAAGACCACAGCTACTTAACATTTAACTAGAAATTTTAGATCATCAGAAAAACAGTAATATTTTTGTGGTACTGATATATTAACAGTATCTTCTTGGCTGGCAAACAGGGAATGCAACAGTTACATTTGCTATTGGAGGGAAGCGTAGTGATCACTTTCTATGGGCCCGAAACCAGTCCTGACATAAAAATTAGAAACTCCCAGCAACAAAATGAACACCAAGTAAACTTTCCCAAAGTAACTTCGATGTAGGCTCCAACTGCTGCTACAGTTCACTTGCTTTTTAGCATCAATATCCCTGTACTAGAGAAACTGGTATACTGCTTAGTTCTCAGAAAGGCTATTGCAGAGAACTTGAAGTTCAAAACCTCTGGAGAAGGTCTGGACAAAGGTTCCCCTTCCCGAAGATGTCTGATTAGTGTCCTGACACGATGGTGCTGCAAAACATTTTAGGTTAGAAAGGAAAAAGCCTGGGATAGTCCCTGTTCTGTAGGCCTCTGTGATTCTTTCCCTTATTAAGGGGATGCTGTCTGCATATCATTCATATAAATACTATGTGTACGATAATTTGTCTCTACATAGTAGCAGTTGTATTGCTAAATCCTTTTGAAACACTACAATAGTGAAGGCTGTTAGGTAGGTACAGACATATCAGTGGTCCTTCAAAATTTTTAATAGCGTGCAGTTCTGATTCCTTAGCATCAAGGAGGACAGTGGAAAGCTGAAAAGAAGCTCATCTAACAGCATCTCAAGGCAACTGAGGGCAATGCTGTGGAGGTTTATGAACTCAGGGGTGTTCTGAAGAGAGTTAAGAGAGAATAAATATTCAATGTCTCCTTGAATAAAGGGGCTATATCAGTTATATAAAATTAGCAGTTAACTTCCTTTGTTCTTTGTGGACATTGTTAACATATCCACAATTCTGTTGGTCATAATAATATCTGTCTTAAGGCAAGAAGTGGCGTTTTCTTATTTGATGATTTCGATTTTTATGAGAAATCAAAATTACTGGTAGAAACAACTACTGCATTGTCAGTTAAAAACACCTATCAGTCCTGTGTCAGAGGAAATTTCCAGACTGCAGTGAAGAGATGGAATGCATAACATTAGAATTGAAATCATAAAAGTTAATAGGCAAGACTTCAAAGTTTTGAGCTGTCTGTAGATTACAATAATTGCAAGAAACAACTGAAAACCAAAAAAGTTCCATTTACAACATTTGATAAAGGAATGGGCAGACACCCAGACCACTGCAAGGCAGATTTTGTCATTAATTCTCCATTTCTGTCTGCCTGTGAGAATGCCATCAATGCACGTCAATCCTGCTGGGCATTCCCTGATCCCCTTGTTTCTGGTCTGTTCCTTTAATCACAGTTTTGACCCATCTGGGAAGTGTCAGTTTTGATGTTTCCATCCTTCCTCTCAGCCAATATACCATATGAATAATACATATGCGTTTTTCTCTAAAAAGTCCTTAGTCAAATTTTATTTGCTTCCATGCAAACACAATAATGCAACTCCTTACAGTAATCCCAGACTCTTACCCACAAAAATGTTGTAAAGTTATAGAATCAGTCTGCAATCAAGCTTTTGAAAGCTCTTCAGAAGTTGGCATCTTATGAAAGGTAAGGAATAGGTGTTCTAACTTACAATGAATTTATTTTTTTTTTTTATTTGGGAACAGTTTTCAACAGTCTGCAGGTGTTTTTTTTTTGGGTTTGGGTTTTGTTTTGTTTTGTTTTTTTAAAAAAGATTTTATGTCTATAAAATACCCCTCTCTGAATCTCATTATTCCTCAAATATTCAGATTTACAGATCACAGAAAAGGAAATACTGATCTTTTCTTCTCTTTAGACAAGTAAATTATCTGTGTGAAAGTGACAGAACCAATTAATTTAGAAATGGAGGAACGCTAGTATGTTGTCTGTTCTGGCTGAAACACTCTGGATCATATTTGGTTGATTTGGTTGCGTTATTCCTCACCTTTCATTTCAGGAAAACAGTTGTTATAGAAGTGAAAGGGAAAAGAAGCTGAGGGTGGTGGTGGTGTGAGGCATGTGCAGTGATATGGTTATAATGGCCTAGACTGATATTTCTCAAATCAATTAAAACAGTTGATCTTCTACTAAACATTTGTTTTCTTGTTCATGTATAATACTGGTTTTGAAACAAACTGAAGAGTGTAGAGAAAGGAGGACCAGTCACTTATGAGTAACATACCAGTTTAAAAAAAAATAATAACAAATCAAACAATTATGTCAGGGTATCTGAAGAAACATTAATTGCATAACATAACATTTAAAAAAGGCAAAATACTAAGCAAATAACTGCAAAACGTTATGTTATATTACATTTTGTAATAAAGCTTATTCTAAAATACTTATTTTATCATACAATTTTTCTCCAATGAATTTCTAAGGAATTCCTATTTAACAGAAATGTAAAGGACTTTAGCAGTGTCTATTCTGAGTTTTGATATGCTCTGCCTAGTGGTATGTTATATACTGAAATTTCTATGGATAAAAAGGTTGCCTCCCTCCTTTTCCATTCTTCAGAACTTTGACTAAATTATATATTTTAAGCAAACTGAAACAAATGTAAAAAGGGAAGAAGAATTAGAGAAATACAGGTACTAAGAAGCAAGCATAGATCAAGGTTAAACACAATCCATCTCTGGTCTCCCTTCTAAATGCATATTGACTCAGTATTAGTCAGAATGATGACACTGAACAGAGAGCTAAGGTAGAAAATTTAACAAGAATGAGCTAAAAAAAGATGGAAATTACTTTGACCTAGCTGGAAGCAAAACAGTGAGAATTTAAAGGACTCAGGTAGGTGTGGTAACTTCCAACTCACATCTTAAAGGACATGCAAATGAAGTGCAAGTCTAGTGATAAGATTCATAATCAGGATTTCAATGAGGACCAGTGTTGTATGATTAGAAAATAGTGATAATAAATCTCTAGAAAACAAATTGGAATGGAAAAACCTAGAAGTAGGGGGGATAGCAGAAGTACTATATTCCAGTTTAATGTATTTGATAAAAGCTGTAAGAGTCAGAACGTAAAGACATACCTGGTAAAATATTTCTAATGAATGCTGAGAATTGTCACCTACCAAATACCAAGTATGTGAAATCAACAGTGAAGCTGCATACATGTCTGCACTATCATAGCAGTGATATCCATTTAAGAGTGTCACCAGAATTCTGAGTATCCTGTACTTTCTGTTCACACAAAAATTCCTTTTATAGTGAACAGAAGTGACTTGTTATTTCTTTGTGAAACAAGTATCACCAAACAAGTGCAACTATGAATACCACCTCCATGTTGACACTCATTCCTCTTTTCCTTTTGAGGAACATGGTTTCATTTTCTGCCACAGAAAGATAACAACACATCTTTAATTGTCCCATAAACTCTAATAAGAAATAGAGTTTTAGCTTGTAAAAGTTATAGAATATCTACTGAAAGCTAGGACTGAATTAAAGCAGCTGCATACAAATTAAGCATCCCTTGATGATATAAGCAATGCTCAGAAAGAAGGTCAAATAAAATGCCTCTTACACATTATCAGTGCTCTTAATTATAGCATCCCAATTCTCTTTCTATTGTGTTCAGGGTCATGAAATTCATCACTAAATGAAAACTATAACTGTATCAGAACAAACTGATGCATTTTATTAGTTTGCTATCATTTTGGCTTCTCCACAGGTGACAAGATGAACGAATACAGTCTAAAAACAAGAATAACTACTTTGAGCGTTACTTACCTTTCACCTCATCTTTGTTATCTGTAACAGTTACAATCTATATTGTTGACTTTTTTAAAGTCTCTGTCAGTAATGGATAGGATTATAAATGAGACGTAATATAAAATTAAAGTTATAAGAAACTGCTAATGTATATTTAACATTGGCTAAACAATAATTTTAGACACTAATAATTTCTTTGATTAGTATTTATCTATTTGACCAGAGCAAGCCAAACTTATCTTTTGACTATTCCAATTTGCAATAACTTTTTTACTCTATAAGAGTTTCCAGCAGGTAAAAAAAAAAGGCAACTATTTGCCAGAATTTACCCCTGGAACAGAGATAACTGGTTCTAAATTACCGGGTAGAGCATTTCATGTTCTGTAATGGTTGAACATGCTCTGAGCATTCTGACTGGGGATCTATATGTGATGTCCAAGTTGATGCACAGTCCATAAACAGACTATTTTGAGAGCTTTTCTTGCTAGTTCTCTGTAGGCTGGCTCCTGTTTTGTAAGGTACATAAATGTAGGAGCTCAAGTACACAGCACAGATGATCAAGAGATAATTTCAGAGCTGTTGGTTAAACATTATGGAGAACAGCGAAGCTTGCATTTGAAAATATACTCAGTCCCTGCTGCTACCTGGATACTTAGAAGCATATGGCGATTTGAAACACAGAGAGCTTGAGTAACAACTCTATTGATCCACAGCAGCTATGAACAACTAGAAAATGGCACCTACCATCCTGCTCTTTTTTACTTGGCAAATACTTGGAAGATGTAAATTTCTAGATGCAAGGTACATGCAAAGCTCTCTTCAAACTTCACATTTCACATTCTGAATTAATTCAAGTGCTATATGGTTGCAGCTGAGAGTCAAGGCCAGCATTAGGCAAAAAAAATAAAAAATGCAAATTAGAAAACACGTTTGTGCAGAAAAGTATTGTAGGTATAACGTGAAATTTCCTTATCGCTGGTTCACAAGAACACATATGTATCAATTTGAATTGATATACCTGGTCACAGGAATTCATTTTTAACCACCTTGCCTGGACTCATGGTTTGTAGTTAGATTATTAGAACCTCCACATCTTAGGTAACGTATTCCTGTCACAACAAGTAAAGTCTCACTGCAAATTAAGTACTGAGTATTTTGTAGTGAGATTTGAAATCCCTTCTCAGTTCCATGCTGGCTCAGCTACTGGCTCAGAACTACGCTACAGGCATTACTTGATACTTCAGGTAACAGCCAGCTAGCTCAGATGCATCTGTCCTGTTCTGCAGTCACTGCAATATAGGTGTATCTGCACATGCAAAGTTGTCAAAACAACGTCAAGACTAAAAGTTATTTTCAAAATGTTTATCTCTTCTTACATCTCCAGCATTAATCACAACTAAAAAAAATAATTTCCAAAGCCTGCCACTGTGGACATGATTAACACAAATTTTAAGCATTAATATTTACAATGACAAAACCTGTTATAAAAAAGAACCCGAGCAGCATTTTCACATGGAAACCAAGTGCAATTATTCATAAAAACTGTTTCTTCAATTAGCAGTTGTGCAGTGCATGAATGATCCAATTCTTTTCTGCCTTCTCTTTCCCTTGCAGGCCTGTGTGGTTAGCTAAGCAGAGTAAGATCTTCAAGTCCAAGGTCTCTGTAATGATGTCATGGTTATATTACACACGCATGTCTAGAATCCACAGATGTCAAAGTTTCCTGTTACTAGAAGAAGAAGTCTTCTAAAATAAAATGAAGATCAAAGAATACAGTGAACCCTGCTAAACATCTAGTCAGATGTTTGTTAAAAAGCTACAGCAGCGACATGTTAGATGCCCATTACCCCTTTCTCATCTGTGAAAAAATAATAAACGGGGTAAACTCCTTTTAGTAAAAATGAAAACAAATTGGCTGCTTCTTCAGGAAGCATTTAATTTAGCTTGCCTTCGTTAAACTTCAGAACCCTCACACATTTATTGATTCCACCTCCAACTGCAGAGTGTAATTTCCTAAATCATGACACTTGCTCAGAAGCAAAGTGTCACAACTTGCCTCTGGCTGCCCTACTTTTCTAGCCACAAGACTTTAAAAGTAGAGCTCAGATTTTCTGCACCGGTCAGAGAGGGGCAGAGTTTAATGTGTGAATGGACACTACCTTATAAAGAGGGGTGTGGGTGCTCTGCATGTGTGGTGAAAGTCCAGCCCTCTGCATAGTGCTGGGCCAAATATGTGATGTAGATGTGCCAAAAGTTTGGAAGAAACTAGAGTTGTAATGCAAAAATACCTAGCTTTTATTCTGCGCAAGGCTAAAAAAGAGCTGCTAGACTTGCTTTACACTCTACTCATTTGAGGAGTTTAAAAAGCTAGATATTCATAGTAACATTCTGTAGCCTTGTATTTCTCACGTACTGCTTTTAGTTTTCAGTATCTATTCCTGCAGACTGCGGTACATTCTACTACATGTAAGAAATGTCTTCTGGTTTTTGGCTTTTTTAATTTTTTTAAACAAATGATGCAATCATATAATGGAAATTTGATAGGCAACTAAACAGTTAATGAAGACAGTGCTATTTCATCCAAATATGTGAATCTATCACAGTTTGTCTCCTGCTCCTCAAAACCTAACTATATGGGATAAGTATCTGTAACATTTTTATTTTGGTTTAAGCTGTTTAAACAACTTAAAATAAGGTTATTAGGAGCAAGAATATATAATTCTGCCTCTTTTGAAATATTTTTTAGCATATCAAAAAGATATAATATGTTCATGTTTTAGACCTGAAATTTAAAATGTATGGGAGAAGGATTAGGAAAGGGAGAGTCATTCTATAAAAGAATAGCCTTTTGCTATGAAAATTTGCCAAAATTTCATCAAGTTACATGTCCCTGGAAAATATCCCTTGGCAGATGTCCAGTAGAGACTTGTGTCCTGTCCATGAAAGATGTTCCATCTGGATTGTAATGTCCCTAATAAATCGAGTATGTGCAGTCCACTCAGAACAATTAGGCATGCTTTGCTCTATGAAGATCAAAATTCCTTTGAGAGTCTTCCTTGTAGCTTCAAGAAACTATGGGTATGGAGAATGAAGACCAAAAAGGAGTGAGAAGTATGACTTTTTTTATTGGGAGGGGTCTGTGATATCTTTCTGTTGCACAAAGTCAGGTAAAAAGGACCTGAGGGAGGGATCAGCCATACAGGAACAAAGAAGGGTGAGTAAAGAGAGTGACAAAAAGTGAGGAGAAGCAAGTGTGAGGGAAGAACAGGACAATAGCACCTGTCGTGAAAGAGTTGGGAGACTAAGTGAAAACAGTAAATACATAAGATTTAAAGAAAACAGTACATTCTGAAAACTCTAATATAAGAGGCAAGGGCAAAAGGTGAAATTTAATTGTTACTTAAAAAGAGATGGGAAATAACACACTTTTTTCCCCCATGTAACTCCTGCCTTATACAAGGTGGATACTGCTTTGGCACTGAATTGGAATGAAATACTAAGCAGGACTATACTTAATTTATGGCAAAAATATTAATCTACAGTTAGCTGAGGTAATGGATGATGAGGTAATGGACTACTGCAATGGCGGCAATGGAGAGACAAGACTGTCTTTTAGAAGATGAAGTAGAATTTTACCCTAGAAAAAGTCTTTCAAACTCCATTTTTACCTAGCTGCCATTGTGATAACAGTGCTACTCAATTTAGTTGAATGCCATTTTAAACATGCACAGCACCCTAGAACTGGGGAAACATCAGTAAATTCTTACCATTACAACTACCTTTGAAATGAACTATGATGTTTAATACACATATAAAGATGTAAAAATGCTGACAATCCTGAAGGATCAGGCACGAGGCGACATGTTTAGTGATCAACAACTACTATTCTTATACCTCAGACTTCTAGCTGTAATGTAGTGGCTTTTACATGATTGAATAAAATCATCAACTGTAAATCTTTTAGATTGGTAAAAGCACTCTAAATGTTATTAATTATTTTCTATTCAGTGTGTGGTTTAGCTTCTTAAATAGGTTTAGGCCACATACAGGATGAAAAAATGTAAAAAATAATAATTATTCATATAAACAGATTCCAATTAATCTTAATTATGACATACTATGATACCCATGTACCCATTACTTCAAACTTATTTCCAATTTATTCTTTTAATATGACTTATTGGATGTAACTAGAATATGAACATACTTCATCAGATAAACTGCAAATTAAAGAAAGGCAAAATCACTATTTTATTCATTAGAGTATTTTGATTAAATTCAAACACAAGGGACAAACTGAAGTGCCCATTCTTAGTGTTTATCAAATATGAGCCACAAATATAAACAGTAATTTTCAGACTGAATTAGCATGTGGATCTTCATTGAAAAATTCTGCCTATTATTTCAAAATATCATTCTAAACATGCATTACGGTTTCCATCCTCAGAGTGATTCTGAAATACTGAATTTCAAAAGTTTTTTTAAAAAAAAAAGATGAGGGAAAACATTTACTACTTTGTAGTAGTAGAATTTTTTCCCCTAGTAATCTTTAATACACTTACATCTGAAATATTTTTTCAACCTTTGTAATCTATATTTATATTTTATATTAGCAAATGAAAGTTGACATTTACTAAATTATATTAACGCTAATATCACTAAACAGTGAACATTTATACCTCAAATATTGCAAGTAAATTTCTAAAAGTAAACAAGTAAATATAGTTTATAGATAGATTATGTATATATTTAAATACAGAATAACAGAAGTAATTACCTTTCAGTATCTCCACTAACCGTGTCCCCTGCTCTCTGTAGAAGAAAAAAAAATAGTATTAAGCACCACTAAAGACTTTGCTTCCTTGGTGCACTCAACATAGCGGTATCTGCAGTGAAAGAAGTCACAGAGGAAAACCACAGTAGTTATTCTGTAACTCAAAGGAAAAGGAAATGGAAAATTTATTTCAAACTAAATGTTACTTCACAATGAAAATCATGTTAAAAGCAACTTGCATCTGCACTTATAAAATAGCTTCATCTGCTGTATAATTGTGATCAAAGCTCTTTAAAATAAGAAGAGAGCTAAAAATTTGTTAGAATGCCAGTGTTTGCAAAAATGTTAATATTTGAAAGGGAGTTTAAGTGTAAAGGGCAAATATTACAATAATTAGAATACAGAGTTTCAGAAGAACAAGCTGCCATCAAAATATTCTTTAATACCATTCTTACATAGCTTTACACAACTTGATTTACTACACTGGTTATTCCTCTGAGGATTGGAAATGAACATGTCTTTTCGTAGTAAGTGATTCAGGATTAAAAATAAAATCTTCAGACTGTTTCCATTACTTTAAACCAAGCTTTATGTTTGAGAAGTTTTGCCGCAGCCAAAAAACAGGTCCTCATCTTGAAATTACAAAAATGTATGTTTGAAAATTAATGTGCATTTGTTTTAAAATTAAGAAATCTACACTTGAAAAATCATTGATTATATGCTTTCTGAATAACTAAATAGGAAATGAATTATTTTTTGTAAGCATAATGTTTGTGTTTTAATATCACTGCTATAGGAGTACAGTAAGTTATTTAATCACACATAACTTCAGAGAAGAGTTACAAAACTGAAATGCCTGTTGCACACGTAAAAGGCAGGAAGTCTGCTGGGTCTGTTTAAGCACATGGGCTGTAACATAGGTAGATGAATTTCTAAGAAAACTTTAAAATGTTCAGGGGACAAGCATGCATTTTGCCATCTCCCTCCTTCACATATCCCTCTGGTGTATCCATATACAGAATCATTTATCATATTTTACCACGCCATTTCTACTGAAGGTAATAGATGACTTGCCACTTGAAGCAGGCAAAAAACCCTTAAGTGATCAAGTTACCCTGGTAATAACTAGTAAGTTTGGAAGGGATTGATGATACCACAGTAATATTAAAACATCTGAGAATATGTCATGACAAAACTGTCTACAATACAACATAACGGACACACACTTAAATTTTTTCAATTATACAGGCTTTCCTGTCTCTTACCTTCCACAGTAATTAGGATACTACAAATTTTACAAGTAACTTTTCATTTCCTCTTGTTGCTACTTTAAATACTAGCCTTTTACTTGTTCTGCTAATTGATTCAGATAAAATATTCTACTAAATGTGAGTATCAAAGACGGTTACCATTCAAATAAGAGAACTTAGCTGATGAAAAGTAATGAAATGGTGCCCTTACACTTAAAAGCAGGGAGTTCTCCTACATACCTTGTTGAAACCAGGCAAAGGCAGGAGCTCCCCATTGAGTAATTGAGTACACAAAACCGTAACAAGCTTTCCTGAGTGTTATGAATAAATTAATTCTTCTTAGAGTACACTGAAATCTAGCCTAAGGAACCTACAAAAATTAAAATGCAGCATCTAGAAATACTCATAATTTCTTGAAGTAGACTGCAAGAGATAACAGCATACATCTAAAGCAAAATATCTGTTTGAAGAGCTTCAGTGAAATGCTACATAATGTACATCAGATTTCTGTTGCTGCTAATGGACTATTAAATATGAGTGAAGCAATCCAATCTTCCCTGAAAATACTGTGGATAGCCTAGTAAAATACCGTATGACCAACTGAGTGAAAAAACTTTGACAGCAACACTACCCATGCTACTGTTATAAAAATAGAATTTATTCATACCAGAAGGCTCAGAGATTTTCTTCTCATATCCCTCTGCCTTCTAGTCTTACTAATTTTAGCAACTAAAAGTGCCAATAATATTTAAGTCAGTTTAAGTGTTTCCCAGTCTATTTCTTAATCAGTAGAGGCCTTTCTTTTCCAAAACTGCTCCCAAATTAAAAGCAAAGCATTTCCAAATCAGGGTTTATTCACTTTCTCTCCCTAATGGAACTCATCCCACACTCCTTTCCCTGATAAAGCTAAAATAATCCTCCTTGTTCACAGTGCTGGCCATCTTCTTTTCATCACCTGTATTACAAATTTTCACTACCACTACAGAACTAGCCCAGTTACTTATTTCCTTCCAAAAAAAATGAACAAAGAACACCTATGTTACGGGTGATAACCTTGGATCATGATTTGAAGATTCATTTTGATCAGAGAGATTCCATTAGTACAACCGCAAACAATTGTTAGGATGTTGTGAACTTGCATATATTAAACTGAAGAAGACATACTAGAATGAAATGTGCTTCTCTTAATAAAACATGTTTTTCTAGAGGTCTTCCTTTCAACACTACTAATTTTCAAAGATATTGAATAATCTCATTTAATTAACTAAAGCTGCAGTAGGGAAACTTTATAATGGTTCTATCATAGTGGGAAAAAGAAAAAAAAATGAGCTAACCATTTAACTATTCATAGATTATGCAAATTATAACTGATTACTGGTTCACTGAAATTTAGAAAAGAGTAAATAAGAATATCTGTATAGAAGGGGAGAATATGAGTACCTGAAAAGTAGAAAACTTATTTATGCCCTTTAAGTTTTTAACAATACTTTATTTACCAGGAAAAAACCTCTGCTCCCAACCAACTCATTAATAACATATATAATATTACGGGTATTAAGTATGAATACTAGGGATTGCTACAGACATATACATATGTATGACCTTTTATTTGACTGATTTTTTACCCCCAAAGAATCTATCGTTGGAGTACAATCTAGCTGCTAGCTTGAAATGCCAACCTTATAAAAGTGTTTCTGATAGCATATATGGAAAAAAACACACACTAGCATTTCTATAGATGTGTATATCATACCTATAATTGATTTCCTTGTGTAATTGTATGTACAGATGCAATACTGACAATGACTTATATGTGGTAAACTCCTGTCTGCAATTTCAGCAACCTTACATATATATATATATATTTTTTTTTTTTTTTTTGAGCAGTTGCTTCTTAACAGTTCCTGATATTTGGAAAACAAAGTGTCTTATTGTAGTTCCCAAAATAAAATTTTACATCTTACTAAAAGGCCACTTTCATGACTAGTAGACATGTGGGAGGCTCAGGAGGCACAAGTCTTGTCATGCTGTCACAGACTATAAAGCACAAATTCTGTGAAATTCAGGTCATTGGCACCTATCAGCCTTCTTTAGTTAGCCTCACATTTATGTAGCTCTAGGGATTTCAATGGATCTGCTTCTGACTTGCACAAGTAGAAATGAAAGGACTATAAGGCCTAAATGGTCTAACAAGCAGATCTGATGGTCCTCTGCTAAAGCAAATCCTGTAGGAATTCCTACTTACCCAAAATTTCTATAAATAACAGATAACAAAAAAATATCTCCTTGAATCAAGATTTCCTAATGAAAAGACGTATTTTCTCCTAAGACGTAAAGAAATCACATAAATAAGAGAAAAGAACCCTGAACTGCAGAGATAGTGTGAAAACATTCATGAGTCATTGTTTACTTGTTTACTAGTGGAAGAGACTAGAATAGTTGGTAATGACACTATAATATGATAATGAGTGTTATTAATCTCAGTGATCAAATGCTATCTATTAATTCCAACTAGATATGTCACTCATTAAGATGCAAAAAAATATTCTTTTACCTTTATTATAAATACCATTCTTCTATTATTCTACACTCAGATATTGAACTCCCTACAAAAATGATTTCTTCTTCTGCTTCCTTAACTCACATATTCATTATATTAAGCATTTTTTTACATTATGTTTGTTCAGAAGTGAAATAGTAGCCTTGTTGCCAGGGGCCTTGTCTCTCTATCTGAGTGAGCTGATGCTTAACCCATTAAACACACTTGCAAAATTATTATGCTCAGCTGAAAATGAAAGCAACCTTTGAGGTTTTCCTTCCACTCACTCTTGTTGAGGGGAGAGATGATACAGACAGGAAATAATCTCATGCAATTTACATCCATGTACAGTTCAGAGGTACTCAATTTTTATGCTGAAAGAAACAAGATGATGGGTGAGATAACTAAAGACAGAAGAAAAATATTCACTCAGAATTTTTAGTTGTGTGGTATATGGTGAACATTATATCAGCACATAATAGGTAACAGAAAAAGAAACAAAATTTTAACAGAATGGAAGATCCATTTCTGAAAAAATGTTACACCCAGAAGAGAAACTATTCCAGATAATGCATGAGATGAAAAACATGTATTCTAAAAGAATATCTAAACGAAGACTTCCTTGTGGCTAACAAAATGTATCCTATGTGGTAAAGCAAAAAATAGTCCAAAAGGGCAAATCACAACCATGGATAAACTGTATTTTATGCTGACCAAACCCTACCTTTGTCCTCATCAATCCACTCTTTTAATTTAAGGGAAATTAAAGGAATTTAAAGCAGGTTTAATCTCAACATCAAAGATGTAAAATATAAACAAACAAAAATATCCACATACCCCCACCCCCCCCAAAAAAAACCAAACCAACAAGAAAGGTATTTTCTTCAAAAGCTAAGAATAATTTTTTTTCCTTTTTTTTTTTTTTTGTTGTGTGTTTTTTTTTTTTTTTTTTTTGTCAAAGAAAACCGGTATATTATATTTTTCTGGAATAGACACAAGATATGATTTTGCTGCAATAAACTAAGCAGAACTATCAAGTTTTATGGATGAGCAATCACTCCAGGTTGTATACTAGTAATCTTAATTTTATACAAGATGTATAGCAACTAAAACATTGGTAGATAAGGGAAGAGCAGCTGACATCATCTACCTGGACTTGTGCAAAGCTTTTGACACCGTCCCATACGATCCTTGTCTCTAAATTGGAGAGATATGGATTTGATGGATGGACCACTTGGTGGATAAGGAA